CCCGTTTGGTTCCTCTCTTTTGTTTGCGCAGACTGGCGTTGCTTGGTGTTAGAAGAAGGGGGACTCGGTCGCTGGAACAAGAGTTGGTAAGATCGCAGTTCGTAGCCTGGGATTATGAGTCAACATTGCTGACGTACTTGCTTGCTATCGGTAGGCGTGTTTAAATTAAATTAAATGGTTCACCCGTTTCGGTCAGGTGGGGCTGTAACGCATTCGATCTCGGTTTCTGACGTTTTGGATTCACACGCGTCGTGGGAGAAACTGACAAAGGAACAATTGCAGGTGGTATGGCCTGAAGCCTCATTCATCAGAGCCTGCTTGAAAGCGTGTATCAGCGATAATATCATCGAACCTTGCCGCACCCCGCTGCAGGAATTTGCCTCACGACTGACAATTGTTTTCACACCGTAGGTTGGACTTCGAGGATGGTGGAAATATGAACAACCAATTGCGGGAACTGAGCACGTGACAGAGCCGGGTCGGTGAAGCGTGAGAGCGTCCCTTCCATTTGTGAAACCACTCTAGTGCTCTGGGCCACATTATTAGACAGTCAGGTTCCAGGATCTTTGTGCTGGCTAACACATTTTTTTGAAGATGAAGATAGGCTCTCCGGAACAGGTTTATTGAAGTGCTGGCGTTTCAAAGAGCTGGGTCGGCTCTTCATTGTCAAAGCGTAAAATGCACTTAATCGATCTGAAATTTCACGTGGCATGTTGTGTTGGTCGGCCTCATGCTGATCGATTTTCTTCTCTCCTCTCGTTGCCTCGGCCTCTCGGGAGATGGTTGACGGACGTTTTGCCTGTGTGCTTTGTGAGTCACCACTCCGTCGAGGGGAACTGATTGGACTTTAGTCGGGCGGTCGGTCTGGCGGTTCTTCTTCCTCTTCCTCACCGAGTAAACTCAGCGTCGGGCTATCTCCGTGCAGCCTTCTTAAGTCCGGTGTGGTTGTTTGGTCCTGAGCTCTACGATTGTGATGACGTAGGACTTTGTAAGCTGCAAGAAGGTCCAGATGCCTGTTGATAGAGTGGGCATCGGAGAACCACGCCTCGAGAGTTAGCCGCTCTGTTTTTGTGTTGCCTCGGCCTAAGATGGTAGCCCTCTGGAGGTCAAAAGTATGTCCCGTTTCTCCAACGTGTGTTGCTAGTTTAGAGTTAGGGTCTAACCTCCGAGTGGTCGATTTGTGTTCTTGTAGGCGAGTTTGCAATTTTAACTGGTAAAGCTGTGATCAGATCTGATCTAACCGGCCTCAATGAAATCGCGGACTGTACCTTTTCACGCGTGATGATCCCCGCAGCGGATCTAGATAGCTCGACCCATTCTCTTCTCCAACGAATGAGACCGAATACCGAAGGTCCAAAATCAACCTCAACGTATTGGTGAACTGCATCGATCCACGTTTCGAGTTGGCGTCCTCTTTCGCTCCTCCAAGTGGGCAACAGCGCCTATTTAAGAGCAGTATAACTGAGCTCATGAGGCGGAAGACGATCGGCTTTCTTGGAGTGCCAGGGATGTCCTCGTGATGTTTTAGCAATGAGAGGGAACTGTCTCATTTAAGGCGATGCGGGTGAACTTCACTCGAAGGCAGTCAACGGTGGTCAATTGTCGCTAGTTTCCACTTATCTTCCACGCTCACGGTCCGGCATTCGCGACCGTCTATAAGGACTGGTCGAAGAGAGACACTGCACCCACGGATCCTTGTGACAATGGAGATGTGACGCCGGATCAGTAGATGCTTTTGAAGGATTGAAAGCCCTGCGAGCTTCATCGATTGGACAGACGATTTCCTTCTTACTCTGTAGCATTCTGTAGCAGACTTGCAGGGAGGTACCTGAAACTGTTGGCTTCATCCAGCTGAGGGGGACGTCCTCCTGTCCAGACAACTGTGGCTCTCCATGCACTGAAGACCGTCCCCAGATTAGCCTTGGAGAGCTGATCCTTAGCAGCGGCTCAGAATTCCAATACTCATAATTACGAGGACAGTGTTCACTTTTTAGGGTTTGTCAACAAGTGTATGGAAGTGTATGAGGACACCATCGGGCTAGGCCGTTCTCCCTGTCGTTGACTCGAGGAATGCCAATTGCGTTAAATCAGTGGCGAACAGCTCACGCGGAAACTAACGGTCCTGCCGCCGGCACGGTAGTGTTTCCTGCCCACATGTTTACAATGTCGGCTGTGCAGATAATTGGTTAGGTTCTGGTGGGGCCAACAGATGAATTTGTTGTTATAAGCGGCGTTCACCCCTGTACGATGCTTGCACTTCTCCAGAACTATCAGCGGGAGGTGAGGGAAGACATATTAGACTGACAGGACCGCAGGACAACTTTCATACCCTGCGATTTGCAGCCTGGCTCTTGGTCCTGGGTAGTACCGAGGTATCCCATCAGTTGGTAGCCCCCCAGGTCACTACGGTTGGCGTGTCGCGATGGGTTGGCGGTGTGTTTGATTTTTTACAGTTGTACCACTAGGCGCCACGGATCTGACCCGAAACGACCTCACTCTCTCTTGCCTATCACGTAAGTCAGTCGCCTGTCGAAGTCAGGCTGACCGAAAGTGGGATCAAGCGCAATGGCTGACGTGATGCAAAGACGGCGTCTAAGGCGCGTTACACACACACCTGACAGATATTATAGAAACCGTATTTATAAGGGCCAATGTAGTCTGGGCCTCATTCCGAGGGAGAATAGTGTTATCCCGTCAGCCGGTAATCTCCCATTGCACGACTGTTGACTCTTCAGATTTATTACAAAGGGCTGCGCCGAATCGCCATCGACCTCACTATCATTCCTCTCTCATTCCCCAATGGCCTATGTGGGCCTGTCGGTCGCCTGGGTTCGGGCGAGATGGCTGACTTGGCGTAAGTCCCCATCAAACGCACGCTGCTGGCGCATAGGGCACCACAAATAAGTAAGTATTCCAACCTACTTCGCATAATTAAGTAGCAAAGTAAGCGAGGTTTTAAAACTGCCTTCAAAACACTGTTGGGCTTTGAAGATCCCGACTACCCATGGTCAGAAGAAGATTTCAGGCGACAATTATTTAACACAGAGGTATAACCAGACTTCCAAACATCCTTAGATAGCATGCACAGCACCAGTTTGCAAAGGAGTCTCGAATAGTGGTCCACAGAAGGTCGTTTTAAAACGGGAGCGAGGCATCCGTCTCTAATAAATTTTGAAATGGAGCATGTTTCAACCACTTCGAGCGAGGGTGAATGGAAAATTTCAGGTAGTAGTTGTTCATATTTCCGTTCAAGCTAATCCTACGGTCTACGTAATCATTTATGCGGAGTGTGGTATTCGCAGGAGGCAGGAAAGAAGCGCATACTGTCGTGTTCGATAGAAAAAGCTCTGGAGTCTTCCTCAGTGCGGCGCACAGAATAGCACTTTGCCAAACACCTGACAGTCATTGTGCTGGGGTAGAATATGGAAAACTTTGTTACTTATCCACATAATAGTGACTATTATGCAGTTTCTATTGAATATCGAACCCTTATAAATTCAGGTGTATTTTGTAGAAGACATGCTTAAAAATAGCCCCCTCAACAGGATGTGTAAATAGGGACACCCCGTCCAAGTAATGAGGGTTGACCCGCGCATAATTGCAGGAAGTGAAAAATATTCCCATGTCCTTATCCTAACAATAAGCCTTATATACAACTAAACTGTTGCCCTAATCTTGACCCTAACCCTAAACTCAGCAGTCAACACCAGCCCCTACCTTAACTCCAAACTTGGTCCTAACTTTCCTTACCGTTAA